GAAATAGTTCATATTTATAATTTTTTTATATAATTTGACTTTTATTGTAAATATTGTTAGTGCTTCTTCCAAAAGACATGATCAATTATAAGATACTAAAGTAATTAACATTGCTAACATGATTGCTAGTGATGAACTTGAAATAGGTAGATGAGCAAATCAAGTGAGAACTCTACAAAGAGTTGGAGACACTAGATGAAGCTCATACTTTCATTCTATTTGTAACTTTATGAGAATGTGTTATGCAACCTACACCATTATTGAAAATATTATTGATGAAGAGGTCACTTATTCACAAAGAGTAGATGCTTTTGCCGCTACTAAAATATTAGCATCATGTGAAATTATTTTCATATTACACTTGATGTATGAGATCATGGGAATTACTAATGTTCTTTGTCAAGCATTACAATTACGCTCTCTAAATATTTTAAATGCAACTCATTTTGTTTCTACTACAAAATCACTCATTCGATAGTTAAGAGATGATGGGTGGTTTCATTTGCTCAAGAATGTGAGAAAAATTTCTCAAAAATAAGAGAGATTCCTAACATGGATGTGCAATATCTAGGGCAAAGGTTGATCTCGTCAACCAAATGTCACTATAGAGCATCATTATAGAGTTTATGTATTCTTAGAGACAATAGATTCTCAATTACAAGAATTGAATTTGAGATTCAATAAGCATATTGTAAAGCTTTTGACTTTAAGCATTGTTTTGAACCCTATTAACAATTACAAATCATTCAACATTGATTATATTTACCAGTTAGTAGAGATTTTTTATTCTCATGATTTCATGGAGCTAGAAAAAAAATTTTTGAGGTTACAATTGAGGCATTACAAGCTTGATATACCTCATCACCAAGGTTATTAAGATATTAAGATACTTTCTAAATTGTGCCAGAAATTAGCAAAAATAGGAAAGGCAAGATATTATCATTTTATTGATAGATTAATTTGCTTTGTTTTGACTTTTCCAGTTTCTACAGCAACTACAGAAAGAGCCTTTTCAACAATGAAAATTTTGACAACAAAACTCCAAAAGAAAATGGATGATGAGTTTTTTGAAGATAATTTAGTTTTTTATATTGCGAAAGACATTGTTAGCCATTTCAGTTCGAAGCCACTAATTGATTAATTCAAATCCAGGAAATATTATCAAGTACAACTTTCCTAAAGGACTATTGTAAGACTTTCTTTTTTGTTTCTTTTGATTTACATGTTATATAAAATTATCATCTATTATAAATCTTTTGATTATTGATTACATTCAACAGATTAGTTTTAACAATTTTTAACCCTTATTCCTCTATCTTTGACTCTCAACAAAAATTGGCTCACTCCACCGCTAGTAATAGTGAACACATTCACCCAATTAACTATAATTTAATAACTTTAGTGGAGCCACCTAAGTAAGGACCTGTAGCTAACAACAATAGACGCTAGTCATTATGCATAATGTTTGATATCTTAACTAGCACGGAGTGCGATTCTAGTCATGTGTTGGCGGAGTGGGACACATGCTTGGTAAAAGGTGTCAAATGGCCCTTAATGTTATATGATTACGACATCAAAGATTATGTGCTCTAGATGAGCAAAACCCCATGTAGCAAGGGTTGGCAATACTCCAAGGGCAGTTTGCCCTTGGTTGGATTTAGTTCTTACAAGGTGGGCTCCATAAAACTAAACGATTAATTAAGTGGTGTAGATGACTAGTTTAATGATGGCACTATGTTGATGTAAGTTGGCATTAAGTAAGCTAGTCAAGGTTGAAATTATGAATTATATGAATGAGTTAAATGCTGAAAAATAATGATAATGGTAATAGAGTTATACAAAAAAAGAATTTACGACTAGGTTAACTAGTCAAATTGTAGTTAGAACTAGTTACTAAAACTAGTAAAATTTGCTTATGGAAATTCATTTAGTTTTTTGGTTGATTTGATGTAAATTTTATATTTTTAGGCAGCACCAAGACCCCATACATTCACTTCGAGTGATAGTTGAGGGTTGGAGTTGATTGAAAGGAAAAGTCAACAAAACTTGTGAGTGAGTTGCATCAAAACTGCATTGATATTAAAAATGAATTTTCCATAAATAAACTTTACTAGTTTTGCTAACTAGCTTCCAACTACAATCTAACTAATCAATCTAGTGCTATATTCTTCTTTTTCATAACTCCATTAACATTATCATCATTTTCCAACACCTAACTCATTCATACAATTCATAATTGCAACCTTGAATAAGTTAAAGTCAACCTACACCAACAAAATGACATCATTAAACTAGTCATCTACAGCACTCAATTAATCATTTTAACAACAATTACCAATCTTTTCATCACTAATCCTCATTCATTCAAACAGCACCTAATCCACATTCTAAACTATCATTAACTATCACAATTATCTCAATTCAACTTCCACTTAACTTGGTGGACTTGTGGTGAAGATGTCCTAACACAAACAATAAGACTAGTTGTTAGCACTAATTAATTAATTAAGAACTAATCACAACTTAATCATGTAAGTCTTTTGATATACCTCAATATCTAGACCAATTTGGAGGTGGAAAGTGCTTGAAAATGCAAGAGAACAACACTTGGAAGTGGTCTTGCAAGCTAGTTTGAAGAGAAAAACTCTATATCGTTAAAATAGGTTCAGTCAAAGTTGGAACAGCATGAAGGTCTTTTTTGAGAATTTTGATGGGAGAATATAAAAGAGGACAGTTGAAAACCTTGGACACGAGCTCAAAAACACTCCATTTGGAGTTGAAATGAGTGAGAGATATGAAGAAAACAAGGAAGGATAAGGAGAAAAACAATGAAGAATAACCAAAAGCAGGTTTGGGGGAGGAGAAGAAGAAATTAAGAAAGATAGATTTTTATACCTAAGGCATACTAAGGGTCTCTTGATAAATGATAATTTTGCCCCTAAAGGCTATTTATGCTGTTTTACACATTTTTTATTCCAAGAAAACATCCACTATGATTTTCTTTATGCTACTGATGCCTAAAGGTTCTAAAATCTATGAAAAGTTATAAATTCTATTTTCAGGTATATAATTAACATTTTGCCCTTAGTATGAAAATTACCTTCTTTCCTCCGTAAATCTCTTAATTTTTTATTACTTTGTTTTCTAACTTAAATAAGCTGAAGAGTTTAAAGGAAAAAAAAACTTAAATAAGCTTTAATTATGTGTGAAAATTTAATCCTAGAAGTTCACCTAGGATTATCTTAAATATAGTCAAATTTACCATTTTTCCTTTTTTGTCAAATTTACCATTTTGCCCTTTCAGTCAAATGACCATTTTACCCCTATAAAAATATTAGGGTTTCACAAATCTACACATATAGGGAGAGGAATGAAATGTCCAAGGGAAGTGAGAAGATTCCAAGCTGCTATCTCTAGAATCTAAAGAAAGAGAGTAGCATCGCTTATCGTTTTTCTATCTCCTTATGTTATTGCTATCTTGAATCAGTAACCAACATCCATAATTCTAATTAAACTGCATTTTATGTGTTGTTAAGAGTGCATGTGCATGTCCATCACCAATAAACCCCACAATAAGTCACTATTGCAAACTTAAGGTGCCTAAACCTTATCGACAACTATCATGACCCGATCCGTAATCTCATACTAACCGTACCAGACCACAACACCATCTGTACTGTGATTGCTTCCATCATCTTGATGATACTTTTCACTCTCTGAACTTAAATATACCCTATCTCAACCTCTACAGTCAACATTGGCATCAACATTTTTTGTATAAGGTCTACATAGTATTATACACCTAGCCTATGACAAATTACTGTCGTAACCAACATCTTTGGAACACCTGGACTTCATATTACTGAATAAAATCATAGTTACTGCCATCTTATAAACCACATCTTCCAAGTTCCCCCTACCCAAGACATCACTTGCTAATCAGCTGATGTCTTCCAGATTACAGTCCACATCATTCTATAATCCTTCCCTCTCTTGCATTTTTTTTCCTTCAGCAAACTTCTTTTTCCTTATATTTCTGTTGTCAGATGTTAAAAATGAGTTCTACAGCACCAGACTTTGCTAAAAACCACGCATTAAAGAAGATACTGGAGAAGTCAAAAAGACGATTACAAGTTTTAATCAATCAATAAAAGACAATTACTATATAGAACCAACAAAGATTGCAACTGCTCTCCGTACTTTAGAAACAAATTTAGCCAAGATCATGAGACTGAAATAAGCTAGTGTTTTGAACCTTATTAGATCACTTATGCAAACATGTGTTACTATCAGCAGCCTAGCCAAAATTTATTTCTTGAACACGTACCAGAAATTCATTCTATAATTCTCACAACTAATATTCAAAAGTGGACAAGTCATATGAGCAAAATACTGTGATAGGTCATACATATGTGTCTTTGTGTGTGTAAGACAATATAAATAACCAGAATAAGAAGAATTACAACTAAAAATAAAAACTTTGCTTGAAATTTGTAGAAGATATCAATGAGCCATTCATCTATCATGAAATTCAAATAGCTATTACATTTACCATATAGAAAAATAAAATCTAAGTCCTAAAATTGCATTATGATATAAGTGATAAGGGATTAAGCAGTGTTAATGTAGTGTACTTCAAAGAGAATAACAAAAAAGGTAAGTCTGATCAGAGCTATTTCAAATCCTTCTCCTTGTAAAAGCAATTTTTTTAAACCACTCAAAGTCCTAAACAATAGAAGTAACATCAAAACCTCAATATCAATATAATCCAACCAATGTACATCATTTGCATATCATGAATTATGGCTCAATTATCAACAAGTATTCCTCAAGTATCAAAGATAATTCTTGTTCTTTCTTTCTATAGTATCAGATACATGCCCAAAAGTATTGGGAGGGTCAGGGTACTGCAATTGATAAGATATAAATAAAGAGTGTTCGGAGTATTTGTGCTTCATATACCATAATAATAGCCAAAAGCATTTCAGAAGTAGACTAACCAAATTGTTGCATGCAGATGCAACATGGGAATCCCTCTCCCCAAATCCTTCTTTCGCTTCCTTGAGTGCAGAAAGGAAGAACTTTTCTGCTTCCTCTAGTTTTCCCTACCATTTATGAGAGAGAGAGAGAGAGAGCAAATCAGAAACTAAAACAGAGACACAAAATGTAGAGAAAAAAAAATGCTTGCCTGCAAAAAGTAGTCCCTCCCATTATCCGTAAAAACTCTCCACTTAGATGTGTGTATATTGGATACCACAGAGCCATCCTCGATTTTGCGTAATCCAACAATATTAGCACCTTGCTCATCACTTTCAGAACTTGTTGACACATCTTCTGCTAAAACATGGTTGACATTTATACCCAAAATTATAGCTGCAAAGAAACCAGAGTCATCAAGAAAGAATTATTCAGCAATTTACCGTTCATAAAACAATAACCAATCTAAAGAAATGAGTAAAATGGGCTTAAAAGTACTTTTTAAACAGCTAAAGCATTTTGACTGAAGTTAGCTACACCTTAAAGCAATACATGTATTTTGACTTCTTTTGGTTCAACTCAAAAGCAATGTTACTTAGAGGCAGGATATGGATGCCTTTCATGAAAAAAGGACACAGTTTTGTGAGGAAAGCTCCTCAAAAAATATAGTACACAAATGAAGCTAACCTCCTTATCCTTATTAAAGCTCTTTATTAGTCAATGCATCAGCCCAAACTGGATGTTTATTTATTTTTGATACATCAATAGAGGACTTCCTAGAAATGGATTTGTAGGTTAATTAAGTTGTTTATCTATGAATTTTAGTTTTTATTTTTAGAGTTTTTTTTTTTTTTTGCAACTATTGCTCTGGTTGCCTTTTAAATTTTTGGGGAGTCTTGTTGACAAGGAGTAGAAATGACTTATGGAAAATGAAGAAAAGTAGATAGAATGTAGAGATAAAGACAGTTTAGACGAGTAGGTGAGAAAGAAAATGTTGTGAGAGAGGGAGATACGTGCATGGTTGAAGAGAAGAAAAGAAAATGGAAAAGTGAAAAGAGAAAAGGAAATAAAAAGGCTTTATTATCAGGCCATATCATGGCATGCAGAGTGGACGAAATTCCACACGCCAAACATGTCATATAACAGTAGGCATATTACAATTGCAAATCAAAACATTTACCCATAATACAAGGATCAAATGAAGATTTTAACCAATATGTTGCCTAACCCAAATTTGACTTTTCAACTATGAGCTATTTTTGTCGGCCAAGTAACTTAAGACAACCAGTTGAATTAAAGTATCTCCCACTTCATTTCAATACAACTAGTTTTATAAAGACAGCCATTCTCCTATTTCTTGCAAGCTTACTTTGTATCATATATGTTAGCTTATATCGCAAAGCAAAGAAGTGAGACATCACTAGATACTTAAATTAAATTTCTGGAAACCCCATGAAAATAGAATATACCAGCTTGTACAGACAGAATAATCCACATAGGAGGATCAGCACGGTTCATCCTCCATGAGCTCCCATAACCAATTTGATAGGGGAATTTTATTTTGCCTGCAATCATATTAACAAAATCAATGAGATATAGAAGAAATACACTTAAACACATGTCTAAATGGGTTAACTGTGTAACAACTTAATCGCATTTAAACATATCAATCGTATCATGTCATTACTCATGTAATTAACATGTTTTGTTCGTGTCAAAAACTTTGACGTCTGCCTCAAGCCGTTTATCTGTTATACTCTTACCTTCACATTACCACACAATAACACGAATTGTTGACTGTAGATACAGCCTCAGGGAAATAATTCAAATAATTGGCCTTATAAACAATCGAATTGAGCTCTTTCACTTTTAAAAGGATAAAGGCCTAATTTGAGTCAATGTAGCTTCACTCAATTGAATTCAAATATTTGAATCTCAATCTTTAAATAGTGAAATTAACAGAAATAAAGATCACAAATGTTGAAACTTTTCATATGGAATCGAAACGTACTGGAAGGAGAAAACGGCAATGGAGTGGCGGTTGCCTTAGCTGGTCGGGAAGCAGAAGCAGAAACGGAGATGGAATGAGAAGGAAGGCGAACTCCCCTTAGCAAACTAACCGCTGCTTTCCGTACAAACATCTTCGCCGGTGCTTGCTTTATTTCCTCCTTACGTAAAACCCTGGGTTTAATTCCGTTAGGCCGGCTGGCAGCAAAGGAAAAAGGCCAAACCGGGAAAGGAAAACTTTGGACTTTGGGCTTTGGGCTTTGGTTAAAAAATAACTTCTCTATTTTTCTGTGTTAATTAACTATAAACATTTTATCATCAATTTATATTTTATGTTTTTAATTTTTTTTACCATTTTTTCTTCTTAAATATTTATCAACAAAAAAATTTATAATTTAATTAAACAATATAATTAGTAAATTTTGAGTTGAAGAATCCTAATTATTATACTATTTTTGTATCAAGTAATTCAAAAAAAAGTTTACCAATTCAACTTTCACACTCCCAGACTTTGGTTTTAGTCATTTCTTTTTTATTAAGACTTTTCTGGCATCTGAATTTTTTATTACTTTTTTATCGTCACATGCGTTACATATTAAAACAATTTTTTTAAAAAATAATAACTACATATAAAATTCAAATCAGGGGCGGAGCCTTCTTAAGGAATGGGGGCCAAGGCCCCCAAAATTTTAAAATTTTTTTACATATTAAATAAAATTTTTTAATTTTTTTATAAATTTTCTTAATAACCTCTAAAATAATTTTTTATTTAATAATTATTACAAATAATAAAATAATTCAAGACTCAATTTTAATTTTTTTATTTTTTAATTTATATTATTATTTTTGTTTTATTTTTTATTTATTTTTATTCTATTTACTCATATGTTTTAAATTTTTATAGATTTTCTCTTATAAATTTATACAAACCATCAATCATATTTTTTTTCTTTTTTATTATATCATATGTAGATTTTATCTTCTACTTGTCATATTCTTTTTTTTCTTATTATGTAGATTTTATTTTTTAAGATTTTATTTTTAAAAATAAATAAATTATTATGTAATTTTCAAATATAAGTTACAGTATTGTATTGTTGTTTAGAATTTCATAAATATATTTTTTTATTCAAAATAATCAATGTATCTTAGTATGTTTATTGCAAATTTTAAATAATAAGGATATACATATAAATTGATAAAATAAAATAATTGTATTTCTTTTAATATAATTTTATTTATTATATTTATTTTTAATAACTCTTAAAATAATTTTTTATTTAATAATTATTTTTTCTTTAAATTGTTGGATAAAATTAGAGTTATTATGGTTAATATATTGCTAATTTAGCCCAACAAATAAATTCTAAACTAATATGTTAAGTCTATCAAATTTACAAAAAATAAAAATAGGTTGAGTAATCCAAATTTATTAAATTTTAATATAAATCTAAACCTATCAACAGTCTAATCAAATGACTTATCATAACATACTGTATCTCAATAGTCTTATCCAATAATTTAATATTTTAATTAGTAATTTAAGAATTCAAATAAATAAAAAAAAAGAACAGTTAGGATATACAAAATAAAGAGGCACCTTGTTTAAGTTTGAAAATTTATTTTTTCTTCCATTCTTACCCGTAAAGAGTGAGAGAGATTCATTTTATAATTTCATTCAATTATATATATAACTGACCCGTTCATTACTATTAATATGCATTTTTTTTATATGTTCAATACCTTTTGAATTTTATTTAATCTTTTAGATGAATAATAATTGAATTATATATAAAATTCTCTTTACCTATTTAATGCCTCTTTCTGTTTGACTCCCCTTTGAAAATGCTCTAATTCTGCTCTTGATACAAATGTTTCTAAAGTGTAAAGTTTATTGTATATAAATAAAAGACAATTAATGTTTCAATTATATAAAATTGAAATCTTGTACTAATATTAATTTATAAATTATTCAATACTATTAGAATTGAGAAAAATATTTTTTAAAGAAGCTGGTCAATGTGATTAAAGTTCTCATTTATAAAATTAGATAAATTTTATTAATAGACAAAAAATATATTTTTAATAAAAGTTATTCAATGCAATTAAAATTCTTATATGCTTACAAATTAAACAAATCTTTATTAAAATTAATAGTTAAAAAATATTCATCCGTACTTTAAAAAATAATTTTACATTCCTTTTCAATATAAATACATTTAAATATTTGACTGAAAAATATTCCAAGCTGTTTACAAGGGCCACTTTGATCTTCAGAAGTTCTTTTCCTAAATCTTTGATAACATATAGATGTTCCAGTAATTTTTTTTTTTTCCTTTGAAGCATGAATGAAACAGAGAAAGAAACAGAGCAAAAGCAAAGACAGATGAACTGATTCTGAAATTGAAAATCCAGCCATTTCAGATTTCATTATTGAAATATAAGCATTCGCAATTATTTAACACTGTAATTTGCAAGGAAGCAACAGAAACTACCCCTGCTACCTCGAATACAACTGGCTACTGCCATTGATACACAGCTTGAATGGAAAGAAAGCTGTACTAACTGAACAGAAATAAGTATATCCTACTGGAAACAAAAGGAAAGCTCTTTCCTTTGTATCATGGAAAGAGAACAACGACATCACAAAGATGGGCTAGCTATTGCCCTCATGGTTTCCACACGATGGTGGTCTCGGCAATCATGGAAGTCACCACGTATGGATCCATGTTTGAAGCTGGCCTCCTGTCTTCAAAATACCCTTTTCCTTCTTTCTCAGTGTCCCGGCCAACACGGATGGATGCCCCACGGTTTGCAACACCCTATCCAACAGTTGGAATGACAAGAACATTAGAGTCAGATAGATATTTCAGACAAGGCATATTATTGGAGATTACACAGCACACCACAGAAGTTAGAATGGTGCTAAGACCTTCAATGGCAAACCACTACATAGGAGCTTCATGGAAAAGCACACAGATAATGACAATGCTGACAAGTTCATTCTGAAGTGCATTGGACACATTGCACACTACTTATTCAGACTATGATGGAGGGAAACAAATTTCATGATGTTCTAGGAGTTTTTACCCATAAGAAAGTGTTGATGTCAGCAGTCTCATGTCGCCCAGTGAGACGGCGCTCATTGCCTTCTCCATATGCAGAAATGTGTTCTTTGTGCCTTAGCCCAAGCTTTTCAATTGCTTTCTTGATAACCTCATAGCCTCTATCACATCTCGTGGACTTTGTACTGAAACATCATGTAAACTTCATAATGAGGAACAAGAGAAAACCGACAGAAGTACTTAATTGGTTCTTCGATCAACTTCTCAGAATCAATTAAAAACGTACCTGTAATTTGTGTGAGCACCTGCACCGTTCCAGTCTCCCTGGGATCAAACAAGGTAAATAAGTTAATAAGCTTTAAGTCCCTAGTTTTGAGCAAAGCAGAGAACACACCGTTTGAACCAAAAGGGAGAAAACAATAGCTACTGGAACCAACTATTCGAACCTGAATTGGCTTAGGATCAAAGGAGAGCACCACTCCAGCTATCTCAGTAATCCTCTGCAATTCAGAAACAAAAATAATTAGGTCTAAACAACTAGAGTAGAAGCAAAAACTCTTGTATGATCTTTGACTAAAGCTTGCTGGATTACCTCCAAAATGTAACGTGCAACCCACAACTCATCTGCAGCACAGATGCCGACTGCTGGACCCACTTGAAATTCCCACTATAAAAGATGAAGAAAGGTAAAGCTTAACATAATCAAAAACTGAGAAGAAATGAAGCAGCCTAAATCAGCAGCTTAACACTTGGAACATAAAAGGCAAAATATGGTCATTCTTACCTGTCCTGGCATCACTTCTCCATTGATGCCACTGATGTTAATTCCAGCATATAAACAAGCTTTGTAATGAGAATCAACAATATCGCGGCCAAAGGCTTTGTCGACGCCAACACCACAATAATAAGGTCCCTGTCAAGCAAAAACAAAAGCATCATATCAGCTACTACTTCTTCTCTATGAGAAAGAACTTGAATCCTCCAACATGTCCAGATGGTCATATAATTAGAAAAGCGAGTGCCTAATAGAAAAAGGAGTATATTAACAAAACTGCTTTAAGAATATGCCATCACTAAGAGCAATCACATGCTACTAATATCATCCATCCACATGGTGGCATTTCTGCAGAGATCATTACAGAAGGTTGGCACAAAAAGCAGGAGGGAGGGAAAAAAACTAATATGCTGAACACAAATGAAACTGAAATAACAGAAGCTCGTGTGAATTTATGACAGTTACTTTTTCCTTATGAAGACAAAAGTTGGGTTGCCAAATAAACAAAGTTTTAAGAAAAGACAGATACTTATGAGTCCAGCAATCAATGAATTACAGAGAACAACAAAACTAGTAAATAAAGATGAAATACAAAATAACGTTTGAAAGAAAGAAAGAAAGAAAAGAAAGCTTCATTACCTGAGGTCCGGGGTAGCCACCAAGAGGCCATCCAATGGGCCATTTAACATCCTTCTGCAACAAGGTATACTCCTGCTCAATTCCATACCTGTTCTCCCGTATCAGATTAAATCACAGAGTGTGAAGTAGTTAAAAGATTTGATTCTCCCCTTTCCCCTAAGCCTCGTCCAATTTAACCCCAAAAAAGAAGGAAGAAAACCATGGCAAGTGACGGAAAATACCAGGGTTCTTCCGCGACAACATCAGGATGGCTAAATATCTTTGCAGCAGCGCATCTCTTGTTTGTGGGAATCGGCTCACCAGCTGGAGTGTAAGCATCGCACATGACCTAAATCAATCATCAAAGTTGAAAGGTCAATTGCACGTTCTGGAAGTTAGCATTCAGTCAACCATACATTTAAGTCCAAAAAGATTGGGTTACAAATTACAAAATATAGCAGATGAAACAGAACTTACAAGAATATTGTTGCCTCTCCTAAATGGATCTTTGAAGATAGCTTGAGGACTGTTCCATTTCATTGAAAATATATATATAAAAATCGATCAGTATCTTGCAGAAAACAATAGAGGCTAAAGAACCAAATATTTCAACTTTTTTCAATAAAAGAAAAAAGATTGAAGAGAAAAGGGGAAAAAAAAACATACTATAAGATCACTTCACTATCTTCTCCAGGAGCCTGACCAGTGCTGGAACCATCATAATTCCACTTGGGAAGCTTT